ATAGAACGGGAAGCATTTGATTTGACAGTGAATGGGATGATGAGGAGTATGGAAAAGTGGGAATGGGATGGATGAGGAATAGAGGTGATAGGCCTAAATGACGGGGTAGGAATAATCACGGCGATGAGACGGATGGGAATATGGGCAGTATCAAAATATCCATTCCTTAATTTGAAGGGAGGAGTGACCCAGAGGCGTACTTGGAGTGGGAAAGGAAGGTGGAATTAATTTTTGAGTGCTATAATTATTCGGAGGAGAAGAAGGTGAAGTTAGCAGTGTTAGAGTACATTGACTACGCACTGACCTGGTGGGATCACTACATAGCGACGGTGTGGGGGAAGACCAATTAGTACTTGGGAGGATTTGAAGGCGTCAATGAGGAAGCGGTTCGTTCCTAACCACTACTATAGAGAGATCCATCAGAAGTTGCAGAGCCTGTATCAAGGGTTAAGGAACGTAGAGGACTATCACAAGAAAATGAAAATACTCATGATTAGGACAAATGTGATGGAGGATCGGGAAGCTACCGTGGCACGGTTTTTAAACGGTCTAAATCATAAAATTGCTAATGTAGTGGAATTGTAGCATTATGTGGAGTTGGAGGACATGTTGCATGTAGCCATGAAAGTAGAGAAACAACTGAAGAGGAAGGGGACTGCGAGGCAGCCAGTGAATACTTCATCTTCTAACCCAAATTGGAAATCGAAGTGGGATGGTAATAATAAGGGGGTGAAGCAGTAGCTAAAGGAAGAAGTGGGTGGCAGAAGGGAAAAGAAGAAAGTGCTAGTAGGACAGCGCCAAAATTGGAACCACAACCATCACGAAGCCGAGACATCAAGTGTTTCAGGTGTTTGGGGACGGGACACATTGCATTTCAGTGTCCTAACAAACGAACCATGGTGTTGCGGGACAATGGAGAGGTGGTAAGTGAGAGCGAAGGAGAGTATGATGACATGCCGGTGTTGGAGGATGTTGGTGATGAAGATGAGACGGAGTTTGCCGTTGGAGAGCTGTTGGTCTCGAGGCGAGCACTTGACACTCAAATCAAGACAGATGATTCGGAGCAGCAGCGGGAAAACATATTCCACAGGTGCCATATCCACGATCAGGTATGTAGCTTGATTATTGATGGTGGGAGTTGCACAAATGTGGCTAGCACAACTTTAGTTGAGAAATTGGGTTTAGCATTATTGAGACACTCTAGGCCTTATAAATTGCAGTGGTTGAATGAGAGTGGAGAAGTTAGGGTAAATAAATGGGTGTTAATTAATTTCTCAATAGGAGATATAGGGACAAGGTTGTATGTGATGTGGTGCCTATGCAAGCGGGTCATATTTTATTGGGGAGACCCTGGCAATTTGATAGGAAGGTTACACATGATGGGTATAGGAACCGGTATAGCTTTGTCAAAGATGGGAGGTCTATTACTCTTGCGCCATTAACACTGACGCATGTGTATGAAGACCAAATAAAATTGAGAAATGAGGAAGAAAGGCGAGCGAAAGAATCTACAAAAAGGAGAGAAGATAGTGAACCTATGAGTAAGAGAGAAAATAGTGAGGTGGTTGAGAAGGGGGAAAGAAAGAAAGGTCACGTGAAAGGAGAGAAAAAGAGTCAGTTGAGTGAAGAGAAAAAGAGTCAGCTGAATGGAGAGAAAGTCAAAAGTGAACTTCTTTGCTAGGGGGAGTGAATTAAAAAAGGCTTTGGGTGATAAGAGATAAGTGTTGTTAGTTTACAAGAAGTCTCTCCTCTCCCTTGAGGAGTCTAACACCTCCCTTCCTAGCGTGGTTAAGTCTTTGTTACAGGATTTCGAAGATGTGTTTTCGAAGGAGGTGCCAAGTGGATTGCCACCAGTTTGAGGGATCGAGCACCAAATTGACGTCATACCCGGGGCTGTCATTCCAAACTGACCACCTTACCGAAGCAATCACGAGGAGACGAAGGAGCTTCAGAGACAAGTGGAGGAGTTGATGAGCAAATGTTACGTGAGGGAGAGCATGAGCCCGTGTGCTGTACCTGTTCTATTGGTGCCAAAGAAAGATGGGACTTGGCGAATGTACGTGGACTGCAGAGCTATCAACAATATTACGGTAAAGTATCGTCACACTATTCCTAGGCTAGATGATATGCTTGATGAATTGCATGGTGCTTGTGTTTTTAGTAAAATTAATCTTAAGAGTGGGTACCATCAAATTCGTATGCGGAGGGTGATGAATGGAAAACGGCATTTAAAACTAAATATGGGTTATATGAGTGGTAGGTTATGCCGTTTGGTCTCACAAATGCATCGAGCACATTTATGCGTTTAATGAATCATGTTTTACGCGCTTTCATAGGAAAATTTGTTGTAGTTTACTTTGATAACATTTTAATCTATAGCAAAGACCTATGTGAGCATTTAGAATATTTAAAGTGCGTGCTTATTGTGTTAAGAAATGAACAATTGTATGCTAATTTTAAAAAGTGCACGTTTTGCATGGATAAAGTTGTTTTCCTAGGATTTGTTATTAGTGCTAATGGGGTAGAAGTGGATGAGGAAAATATTAAAGCAATTAGAGAATGGCCAACACCTAAAAATATAATTGAGATTAGGAGCTTCCATGGTCTGACTAGTTTTTATAGGCGCATTGTGAAAGACTTTAGTGCAATCACGACACCATTAACTGAAATCGTTAAGAAAAGCGTAGGTTTTCACTAGAGGAAAGCACAAGAACATGCATTTAATACCATTAACGATAAGTTGTGTAAAGCACCTGTTTTGACATTACCTAACTTTGATAAAACGTTCGAGATTGAGTGTGATGCATCGGTGATAGGTATTGGAGCAGTGTTAATGCAGGAAAAGAGACCTATTGCTTACTTTAGTGAAAAGTTGAGTGGAGCTGCACTGAACTACCCAACGTATGACAAGGAGTTGTATTCTCTTGTTCGAGCATTGGAGACTTGGCAGCATTACTTGTGGCCTAAAGAGTTTGTGATACACACCAATCATGAATCCCTAAAGCACTTGTGGGGTCAAGGTAAGTTGAAAGAGATGTTTCCATACGTCATCAAGTATAAACAAGGTAATGAAAACGTAGTTGCAGATGCGTTGTTGCGAAGGTACGTGCTTCTTAACTCTTTAAGTGCGAAATTATTTGGTTTTGAGCATATTAAGAGCATGTATGAAAATGACATTGATTTCTCAAACATTTATAATTCATGTGCTAAAATGGCTGTTGATAAATTTTATAGACATGAAGGATATTTGTTTAGGGAAAATAAGCTGTGCATTCCAAATTGCTCAATGCGTGAATTATTGGTAAAGAAAGCACACAATGGGGGGTCTAATGGGTCATTTTGGGATTCAAAAGACTTTAGATATGTTAGGGGAACACTTTTATTGGCCTAAAATGCGTAGTGACGTAGAACGAATTTGTGAGAAGTGCATAACTTGTAAATAGGCTAAATCAAAAGTCTTACCCCATGGCTTGTATACACTTTTACCTGTACCTAGTGAACCTTGGGTGGATATTTCTATAGATTTCGTGTTGGGGTTACCTAGGGCAAAGAAAGGTCGGGATTCTATCTTTATAGTGGTTGATAGGTTTATTAAAATGACACACTTTATACCATGTCACAAAATCAATGATGCCACTAACATTGCTGATTTATTCTTTAGGGAGATAGTACGTTTGCATGGAGTCCCTAAGAGTATTGTGTCGGATGTTAAATTTTTGAGTCATTTCTGGCGTGTTTTGTGAAATAAGTTAGGAACTAAATTGTTATTTTCTACAACTTGTCACTCACAAACGGATGGTCAAACTGAAGTAGTAACCATGACTCAATTGCTTCGAACGGTTATTAATAAAAACTTAAGAAATTGGGAAGATTGTTTGCCATTTATTGAGTTTGCTTATAATCGTCCTGTACATTCAACTACTTCTTATTCACCTTTTGAAATTGTGTATGGATTTAATCCACTAACTCCATTGGATTTATTTCTGTGCCTGTGAATGAACGAGGTAGCATGGATGGTAAGAGGAAAGTTGAGATGGTGAAGGCACTTCATGAAAAGGTCTGTACGCAAATTGAAGAGAAGAACAAGCTCATCGCGTCAAAGGCGAACAAATGACGGAAGCATGTGACATTTGAACCCGGAGATTGGGTATGAGTGCATTTCAGGAAGGAACGTTTTTCGGAGCAGCGAAAGTCCAAATTGCAACCGCAAGGAGATGGTTCTTTATAAGTCACCGAGAAGATCAACGATAATGCCTACAAAGTGGACTTACCAGGTGAATATAATGTATCGACTACATTTAATGTTGTTGATCTTTCCCTCTTCGATGCAAGTGCAGATTCGATGACGAATCCTTTTGAAGAGGGAGAGGATGATGTGATCCAAGAATCAAGCTTGAAGACGGCGAGTTCGAGTCGAGACCCGTTGATTATCGAAGGCGGACCGATGACGCGAACGAGAGCAAAGCAAGTGAAACAAATGATGGGATTGCTCGTTCAAGAAACCATTGATGGGAAGATGTTCGGGACTCAAAATTGGATAAGTTTCGTGATCGGGTCGAAAGCCGACTCAAAGTAGATCAACTTAACACAAGCGAATGAAAACGGAAGCCAAAGTAACAACCATGCCGCCGCATGGTTTTAAAGTGGTGCGGCCGCACAGACCCATGTAGGGTTTCCTCGAGGGCCGACAATTTCTTCCATGCGACCAATAAGATCAACGATGATGCCTACAAAGTGGACTTGCCAGGTGAATATAATGTATTGGCTACATTTAACGTTACTGATATTTCCCTTTTCGATGCAAGTGCAAATTCGAGGACGAATTCTTTTGAAAAGGAAGGGGATGATGTGATCCAAGAATTAAGCTTGAAGACAGCGAGTTCGAGTCGAGACCCGTTGATTATCGAAAGCAGACCAATGACATGATCGAGAGCAAAGTAAGTAAAACAAGCGATGGGATTGCCTGTTCAAGAAACCATTGATGGGACGATATTCGGGACTCAAAATGGGACAAGTTTCGTATTTGGGTCGAAAGCCAAATCAAAGTAGATCAACTCAAAACAAGCGGATGAAAGACGGAGGTCAAAGTAACAACCATGCGGCCTGCGGCCGCATGATTTTAAAGTGGTGCGGCTGCACAGACCCATGCAGGGTTTCCTCGAGTCTGGTAGAATTTTCCTTTTTCGCGAATTTTCTTATTTTGTTAGAATTTGATATCAATTAGACTTCTTTCCATATTTTGACGATTTTGCACGATTTTAGCTACGATTTTAGTTTTAGTATAAATACTCTCTCCATTACATTGTAATGGACTTTTTTTGACAATTATTATTAAATTCAAGAGAGATTTTTGCTTTCTTCCAATTTGTTCTTCTTTGAACAATAATTTAAAACTTATCAAAGATAATTCCTTGTGGCGTTCAACATTGGATCGTGGGTTCTTCATTTTGTAAGCAAGGGGTTCATTGCATCATCGTTATCTTTGGGTTCTTTGTTTCATCTTATTGGATTCAAGTCCAAACTGATTATCAATTGACGTTCTTGAGTTCCACATCAATCTAGTTGTGGAGTTCATAGTCTAAGTTGCTACGGGGTTCGCATCACAAGACTCGTGTATATCTTTGTCGACGGATTTAATATATACATCTCGAATGTCAGGTTGAATTTCGTATATTTTAACTTGCTTCCTTGCAACTCTTACTTCTCGTGTTTTTTATAAGGTAAATTTGTTTATAAGCAAGCTTTTAAATTTTAGCCAAACATCCTCCATAAAATGGCATTTTGATATCCTACATTTTACATCTTCAACGCTTCCAAAAAATAATATCACTAAAATAAATTTAAAAAGAAAAAACATTTCAAAGTCCAAACACATTTTCTCGGAAGCCCAGTTTAGCATCTTCGCAACCGTCGCTTCAGCGTCCCAC